CTTCCATTGGGCAAACACAGCCAACAATCAGCTGTCATGGGAACCTAGGGAAAGATTTTGTGAGGTCAGCCTCCTTTTGAGACAGAAGAGCAGAAGGGTGAGCAATGGAGCTGAGGGAACAGGCCTAGGAGGCTGTTTTCCATAAGGATGTCACCTGAGAGATAAGACTTGTAAGAACAGATAGCCATCTGAAACAAGGAGGTGATATGACCAGTCCCTCCCAAGCCTGACACCTGCTTGCTCTTGCTCTTCTGAGAAGCAGCTCCAGGCCATGAGACCCAGATGGCAGTGCTGGAGTTGGAGACTGGCTGCCGGTGGGGACTGACAGGCCTCAGCAAATAGGTATAATTACTGTATGGCTGGGCAGCTGCCCATCCAGTAAATTATTCATACCTCTATGATGTTACTATCTTCCATGCATGCAAATATTCTGATTTTTTTTTCCAAATTCTGCAGGTTGGAATGGCTGTTTTTCCGACTTCACTGTGTATAACCTCTGCTTGTCTTCACATATCTTTCCCCTCTCTCTTTCAGTATGCAACTATTGGATCTTTATCACCCTGGCTGCTGCACCTTCACTGGGTGCAGGAAAGTTTCCACCATTGGAAGGGGCAACTTTTTTAGGATCAGCAAAGAATGGAATGGACTTTGGTAGGCTTTTAAGGCCTGCCCTTACAGCAGGTGGTTGATTGCAAGGACCCAGGAATCTCTCTGCACCCCCATTCCATAACTGAGTTGAGGGTTCTACCTGTGGAGAGGAGGCATCTGGGTCTTGAGGTTTCAATAACTTGGTAGGCACATCAAAAAGTTTCATCTCCTAGGGGATGAAGGATCAAGTCTGCACATTATTACAGCTCTTCTCTAGACATTTGGTGGCTTTATCACCTTCAAACATTCTGTTGAATTCTCTTTCTTCTTGGTAATTATGTGAGACAACTGGGGCTAAACACTAACCAGTCTTGGGTCCGTTCTTTGCTTTACAGGATAAATTGGTTTATTTACTATTTCTTTGTATTCATCCTTCTCTGCTTATACAACTGCATGCTGCTGTTATGTGCCTTCGAGTCAGACCTGACTCATAGCGACCCCTTGGGTTTCCGAGGCAGTATCACTATGGAAGTAGATTGCCTAACCTTCCTTCCGAGGAGTGGCATATCAGTCCTTAATTAAGGAAACAAAATACATATATATAACCTTTCCCTTACTTATTAACACCAACAAAAATAAAGTATATCTTATGATCTTCATTCTTCTATTTTGTTAAAACAATTACAACTACAGTTTGGTGTACCTTATCTAAATCTTTTGATATCATAATGAACTCACAGACTTTCATAAGCTAAGTTTACTTAACTTCACTGTATTATTGATTCACAAACTGTCACAACTTGGTTCTTTGTCCACTTAGCTCTGCCCCTGATATTCTTGAAAACATCTTTGTCCTGGGAATAATAAGATGTTCCAAGAATCCAGACTTTTCCCTATTCCCAAGATAAGAAGTCAGGTACTTTGAGAGAGTCCTGACTTTTATTTTATAGAGGAGAATATAGTATCAGGAGCAAAATTTGAGTGCTAAGAGTACACATGAGTATTGGCTTAGGCTGCTGTTGGCCCTATTTCAATGTCAGAATTGGAGAAGAAAGTATATTAAAGGAATTCATTTTCTTGACTTAACAGGTTATATTGATGTCACTGTTCTTCTTATGGTATGAAGTTTTGTGGTATAAACCTTTTTATTACATTGATATATTTCTACCCAAAATTAAAAATGTAAAGGCACACCTCTGAATCTGGCTCTGGGCCATTTGCCTAGGTAGGATGGGCAGGCTCCATGGTGAATGGTGTTGCCACAGGCACAGGTACCAGGTGTGAAGTCATTTGTTGAGCACTCCCTGTGGGTGCAATATTGGACCAGGCTCTGGGAGAAGCAGCAGTGACAGATGAAACAAGACTCCTGGCCTCCAGGAATGTACAGAAACAATTTATGTACATAACAAATGAAAAAATGATAGAAACCATCATTTAATCAAAGACTGAAACTGATGGTGAAGGCAATAGGTGGTTAGGAGTTGGGAAAAGTGAGAGACCAGTGGGTGGAGGAGGAAAAGGCTTCTGAAGCAGGAAGCCTTGGACCATCTTGGAGACTCTGTCCTACAGGGTCAGAGTCAGAAGTGAATCAGTGGCAGTGGGTTTGGTCTGGGCGAAAACTGAATGACACAGGAAGCATCAAAAGAAGATGGAAGGAATACACAGATTGCCTGCACCAAAAAGAATTGGTCAATGGTCAACCAATTGACAAACTTCAGGAATTTCAGAAAGCAGGACATGATCAAGAACTAATGTTACTGAAGAAACCAGTCCAATCTCCACTGAAGGCACCGGGGAAATATAAGGGTCCAGGAATTGATGGCATACCATTTAAGATGTTTCAACAAACATATGCAATGTTGGAAACAATCACTCATCTATGCCAAGAAATTTGGAAGATAGTCATCTGGGCAACTGACTGGAAGAAATTCATATTTATGCCCCTTCCAAGGAAAAGTGATCCAACAGAATGCAGAAATCATCAAATAATATCATTACTGTCACACACAAGTAAAATTTTGCTGAAGATAATACAAAAATAGTTGTAGAAGAACAAGGAACTGCCAGAAATTCAAGCCAGATTCAGAAAAGAATGTGGGCTAAGGGATATCATTGCTGATGTCAAATGGATCTTGGCTAACAGCAGAGAACAATGGAAAGACGATTACCTGTGTTTTATTGACTATACAAAGGCTTGAACTATATGAATCATGACAAATTATGGATAACATTGTGAAAAATGGGAATTCCAGAACACTTAACTGTGCTCATGCAGAACCTGTGCATAGACCAAGAGGCAGTCATTTGAGCAGAACAAGGGAATACTGTGTGATTTAAAATCAGGAAAGGTGTGCACCAGAGTTGTATCCTTTCACCACACTTGTTCAATCTGCACATCAAGTAAATAATCTGAGAAGCTGAACTAGAGGATGAAGAGTGGCATCAGGATTACAGAAAGACTCATTAACAACCTGCAGTATGCAGGTGACACAACTTGGCTTGTTGAAAGTGAAGAGGACTTGAAGCACTTGCTGATGAAGACCAAAGACTACAGCTTTCAGTGTGGATTACATCTCAACATAAGGAAAACAAAAACCCTCACAACTGGACCAAGAAGCAACATCAAGATAAATGGAGGAAAGATTGAAATTGTCAAGGATTTCATTTTACTTGGACCCACAATCAACACCCATGGAAACAGCAATCAAGAAATCAAACAATGTATTTCATTGGGCAAATCTGCTGCAAAATACATCTTTAAAATGTCACTTTGAGAACTAGCGTGCACCTGACCCAAACTGTGGTATTTTCAACTGCCTCATATGCATGCAAAAGCTGGACAATGAATAAGGAAGATCAAAGAAGAATTGATGCCTTTGAATTATGGTGGTGGAGAACACCAGAAGAGGGAACAAATCTGTGTTAAAAGAAGCACAGCCGTAATGCACCCTAGAAGTGAGGATGGTGAGACTTCATCTCACATACTTTGGACATGTTATCAGGAGGGACCAGTCCCTGAAGAAGGCATCATGTTTGATGAAGTAGAGGGTCAGTGAAAAAGAGGAAGAGCCTTATGAGATGGATAGACATAGGGGCTACAACGGGCTTAAACATAAGGATGATGGTGAAGATTGGGCAAGCTTTTTCTGTTGTACATAGGGTCACCTGTGTACATAAGTCAGAACAAACTGTATGGCACCTACTACAATGACAACATCAGCCCTAAATTGAGAAGAAGTTCTGTCCTGCTTGTTTCACTCCCAAGAATGAGAAATCTGACTCCTGAACTCACAATATCACTGTGTCTTCTGGGCTGGGATTGGTCACCTACCCCTTGCTTAAAAGATGAGCCAATTTTACCTGGGAAACTTATTATTATTTTTAATTCTAAATATTATATTATATTATATTTAGGTTTAATTATAATAATAATTATATATATAATTATAATTATATATAAAAAATATTTAAATATAGTATGTGGGGTATCTGCTTGGGAGAAAAGATTTATACATGGTGAATAATTATCCATAATCCCACCATCTTTGACATTGTTTTAATTTTAGCACAATTCCTTCCATTTTTTTATCCATGTAAATTTTTCGTAGGTGAGATCATTTCTACATGCAATTTGTGTGCTGATTCTTTTCACTTAGTCTCATGTTATTAAAAGAGATTGTGAAAAGCTTTTAAATCATTGATGATTTTATTCTGTAGTTGCTTCGATGATTCCTTTATTGCTTGTTATTTAGGCAATTTTTTATTCCAGTTCTAAATAATGTCAAAATGCACAAATATGCATATAAATTAAGTGTTTATCCATATTTTGGTTGAGGGACCTCATCAATTTTAATACAATTGATTTCTACTGTTAAATTGCTTTGAAGGAAAAAATATTATAACAATGTATAACTCCACCAGAGGATTAGTAGAGAATGTGAGAGTGTGGTTGTGTTTATTTAATTCTATTATTGTATTAATCCAAAGTCAAACTAACAAGGGAAACTGAGACACAGACAGATAAAATGATATTGTCATTGGAGACACTATCAGTTTTGGCTGGAGCTGACAATCTGTTGTCCTCTCCTCCAAGCCAGTGTCTTCACTACTTTCCTGTAGTTCTATGGAAATTCCCTATCCTTGAAATTATATCAGGGGATTGATCAGTAGAGTCCTCCAGGAGCCTAACAGTACTGTAAAATCTCTTAATGGTGCCTGGCTCACTCTTGTTTCATTTTCACCTCCAATAAGTGGTAGGCATCTCCTAAATGGTCAAACCTGATCCATTTTTGCCTTGCAAATGAAACAAACTACTTCTGTTTCTATTTTGCCTTGTTTCTGGACTAATTCTTAGCACTTCTTCTGCTTGTGAGTGACTGTTACCTCATTCTGTAAGACTGGCACCAGCAGAAATGCAGTCTCAAAGGATTCCTGGGAGGAAGAGAGGCCGACCCCCACTTCACTCGACACCTATGAAGATGACAGTTCATAACCTTTATTCTGCTTCACCTGGCTGTTTACCAGCAATGAAGACCCCAAAGAAAAGAGGGCGGAAGCCAGGGTACAAGGTACGGCTCTATCATCTCCTTTCTTCAAAGTTATATCGGGCTGGGGCATAGGAGCTTGAGCATAACTCCACTGGGAAATGCAATGAAAGGTCGGGAGCTTGGTAAAGAGAGAATGAAAAATAGGTTTCTCTCAATGAACCACGTGACAGGGCCTCATTGTTACAACATGACACGTTATAAATGCTATCCTGTGCACTTTTACAAGTGCAGAAAGCAATTTACACCAGATGGGCAAAGTTGTGAAGCGATCAGATTTTAGGGTCACAGCTAAATACACATTATTAAACCTCACATCCAAATTAGTGTTTCAGACACTGAACTTCCCCTGACTGTTCCTACTAGGATAGCTCTCAAAGCTGCCTTCCAAAACTCATTCATCATTTATTTTAGTAGAAGCAGATGATGTTCCTCAGATATTCAAATGATTAACACAAGCAGGCCAGTGTCAAAGGACACAGAAGAGTTTCCCCAAACAGAGCTTCAATAAAGGGACTCATAACAAAAAGTCAGGATGTTAATTCATAGTTTTCCATTTATAAAAGGTGCTGACGCCAAGTTTGGCAACAAGGAGGCACATCAGGGAAAATTAAAATCTTGTGAGCCCTTTAAGAATTAACAATGATTTGGAGGAGCTGGGATGGAGAATGAATCCTCTGATGTAACCAACCCATACCAGATGGAGAGGTCCTCCTCCAAGATGTTTTGAAGAGGCTACTAGAGGAAAGAATATTAAGCTTGTTCTCCACAGGCCTTTCGGGCATTAGAAAATGAGCTTCAGAAGTTTTCCTTCATTTGTTTTCCTTTAGATAAAGGGCTTGTGTTTCCATTTGAGATCTGAATACTCAAACTGAAATGCAAATTGGCAATTAACTCCCATATATTTAGGAAAATGTATGGAAATTATTTCAGGTCAGCAAAAAAACAAAACTTCCGGAAGAGTTGATAATGAATTCAGCTGTTATCCCTTTGGCTTTCCACAGTTCTTCCAAATGCTGGAAAATAAAAAGGGTGAGTGTGTGTGTGGGGGGAAGGTTACTCAAAGTTATTTTGGTGTCATTGGTTTAAGTTAAAGAAGCTTTTACTCAGCCATGTCATGAGGTGAAGTCTTTAGTTACTGGTTGTTTCTAACAAAGAGAACCTCCTTTTTTTCTCATGGGCACACCAGCTTTAGGAATGTGTCTCTCTGAAGCTGATGCAAGGCAGGCTTCGCCTCCTCAGCTACCTATGTGGTTGCTGGGGTCTGCGAATTGTATTTGGAAGGCTGTACCAGGGTAGCCCTTCCATTTAGAGATTCAGGGAGCAAAGCCAGGATCTGAAGAAACTCACAGAAACCTTCTATCCCTGTTTGGCCTTTCTCCTACTCCCCTGGGAGCTGTGACCCAAGAATGAAAATTACCAACAGACACAGCATTTATGGGGCCAGGAAAAATGGAAATTCACTCCATGGAATGAACCCGACTTTGCAATTTTCCTGTCTCCTAACAAGGGCAGCTCTCAGTGCTCTTAACACTCAGGGACACCTCAGGTCAGGAAGAAAACGTTGGGGACTGGCTGGCTGATGCTATAGGCTCTGCACAAAGTAAGCGCGTCTTATTCTCACTGCACCACAGGTTTTCTTTTCTGAGGACCACAGGCCACAGCTTTTCCTTGAGCCCCCTCTCTAAGTGCCAGCTGATCCAAGGCTTCCAAGAACACTCCCAGCTCCTAGAACCAGCCAGCTCCCAGGCGGTAGGCTTAGTATTTTGGAAGAGTAGTTCCCAAACCCAGTGCCAGTCTACGTGACATGTCCACCCATCCACCTTGACATGAGAAAAACAAGAACCATTCGAAAATCCTCATAAACCTAAAATGATTCTACTTCAAGGATTAGCCTTTATTCTGAAATATCTCCTTCTTATTCTTATGGTGTTAAAGCATTCCTTGTTTTCTTAAATGTTTTATGTTGATAGGATTTGGTAATTTAAAAATATCCTTACTTGGCAAAAAAAAAAAAAAAAAAAAAAGTTGGCAGCCTATTAAGTCTCCTCAGTTTTATTTTGAAAATTTCCTAGACCTTGAAATCCCGTTTTACCATTAATGGCAAGAGTTTTAAATGTTGGGAAGCCAGCAAAGAAGATACCATTGCACTCCATTTACCAAATGACCACTAATTTGGCAAAAGTAATTACCTAGGACATAGTTGGGAACAAGAAGTTGGGGGAAAAAAATCCTGACCAAACAAAATAAGGTATTACTACTTGCTGCCATGGAGTCGGATCTGACTCATAGCAACCCCTCCTTGGTTTTCTGAGATGGTATCACTACGTCTCAGAAGTAGATTGCCCAATCTTCCTTCCGAGGAGTGGCTGGTGGGTTTGAACCACTGGCCCTCTGGTGAGTAGTCAAATGCCTTAGGCACTATGCCACCAGAGCTCCTAAGATATTACTAGTCTAACCTTAAAGATTTTATTTTATTACTAAGAAAATGCTTTCCAATCCTCCATCAGTCTACTGGCTTTGCTTGCAAGCTGGATTATAGCAGTGACGTAGCCTTAATTTTGAAGGAAAAGGTAATGTGGGGGAAGAAGATCACACACAGCTGAGCAATGAGAAGAAAATAATAATTTTTTTCTAGTGTATTAACAGAAAAATGAGATACTATAACAATAACATTATCGATATTATAAAATAATAATAACAATATAACTTATTGTTGTTAATTCCTGTCAGGTGGATTCTGACTCATGGCCACTCCATGTGTTCAAAGTAGAACAGTGCTCCAGAATGGGGTTTTCAATGCTGTGAACTTTTGGAAGCACATCTCCAGTCCTGTCTTCAGAGACACCTCTGGGTGTGTTCAAACGAACAATCTTTCAGACAGTGGCAGAGCACTGAACCGTTTAAACCACCCTAGGATTTCTCATGTAACTTTGTTGTTGTTGTTAGGTGTCATTGAGTAGTTCCAACTTGTACTGGCTCTGTGTACAACAGAACAAAACATTGCCCTGTCCTGCATTATCTCCACAATCCTTGCCATGCATAAGCTCATCATCGAAGCCACTGTGTCAATCCATTTTGTTGAGGGTCTTCCCCTTTTTCTGATGATCCTCTTTTTTTTTTTTTTTTCCTACCAAGCATGATATTCTTCTCCAAGGACTGGTCCCTTCTGACAACATGATCGAAGTATGAGAGGCAGAGTCTGGCTATTCTTGCTTCTTAAGTGCATTCTGGCTGTACGTACTTCATCCAAGGCAGATTTTTTTTTTTTTTCTTCTAGCAGTCCATGGCACCTTAAATATTCTTCACTAACACCACAATTCAAAGGCATCAATTCTTCTGTGGTCTTCCTTATCCATTGTCCAGCTCTCACATGCATATGAGGCTTTTGAAAAGACCATGGCTTGGGTCAGGTGCATCTTAGTTTTCAAAGTGACATCTTGGCTCTAGATCACTTGAAAGAGCTCTTTTGCAGCTGATCTGCCCAGTGTAATATGTCATTTGATTTTTTTTTTTTTTTAATT